TGTCCACTGCTCCCGAGGTCACACCACCTGGGGCGGTACTGCAACTCAGCTCTGACGCTAACCACCCAGAATCAGCGTCAGACGCCCAGGTTAAGGGCTCAGTCCCCCACGGACTACCCCCATTTAGACACCAGCTGTCAGTGGGGTCCCCAGGACACCCGCCCTTCTGACACGCCGACTCCAAACTGGGTGTCTCCCGTGACCCCCTCAGTTTCTAGAATTCTCCGGAATGACTTACAGAACCCACTGAAAGTGCTGTGATGACAGCTTGAGACTGTAACGCAGGAGCAGCTGAATGAAGGGGCGCGGGGTGAGATCTGGGAGGGAGCGCGGTTTCCGGCCCTCTCCCCAGGGACTCAGCACCGCCCTCCCAGCTCATGGATGCGCTGAGTCTCTGTGTCCAGAGCTGTCACTGAAGTCTTCTGACGGAGCAGGCCGGCAGGCGAAGGACTCAGTTTCCGACCCCCTCTCCCTTTGCTGGCGGGAGTCCCGACCTCTCCTCATGTGGTGGGTTTTTCTGGTGCCCAGCCCCATCCTGATCCGGCCTGGGGACCCGCCCTGAGTCACCTTATTAGCACAGCAGACACTCCTCTCAGGAAATTCCAGGGGATTTTGAAGCCCATGCCAGGAACTGGGAAAGAAACCCATCATGTTCTTGATTCTACCACAACAATGTGCACACGCAGTGTCTCATTCATCCAGTCACCGCGGCATCCAGCCAGCCTGTCCCGCGCCAGCTCACCAAGGGCTTCCTAAAGTGGTGGCAAAACAACACCTTAAAAGGCACCCCCTGGGCCCAAGGTCCCCACCCCCACTCTACCCCAGCCAGGACGTCTGCTTCCTGAAGGAGAACTGTTTCTTTTCTCTAGGCCATTGGTCAGCAGCCAGTGTTTCAGACGCAGGCTTGCCTTGCCAATCATTGTTTAAAGCAAAACAAAAGAAAGCCATCATACCCTTCAGCTGAGGCTGCAGCTTGCTCCAATGACCCGCTGACCCCAGGCCCTGGACGCGCATCGCCACCACCACTGCTCCCAGGACCCCATCCAGCTGCAGCAACACAGCTGCCTGAGGACGTTCTCTGGGGACCTCGGTTCTTGGGGACATAGCCTCCTGAATCTGGCCCAGAGAGTCGGCGTCTGGTGCAGGCATGGTCCTAGGTCCCAGCCGCCCCTCCAAAGGCTTGTAAAGTGAGGCACCCCAACCCCCAAAGGAGGTTCAGACCTCAGCAGCCAGGAAAAGTGCCAGATGTCCACTGTGCCCCCTGCATTGCCCACACAGAGCTACTGGTCCCTGACCTTCCTCCCTCCCGCCAATTCTTAGCATTCTGGACCTTTTATTTTATGCAAGCCTTAACCTGAAACCTGAGACTGGCACGATTCCCATGGTCTTCAAATACCCAAATACGGCCCTGGCTGGCGTGGTTCAGTTGGTTGGAGTGTCGTCCCAGGCAGCAAAAGGTTGCTGGTTCAATTCCCAATCAGGGTGGTCAGGGCACATACCTAGGTTTCGGATTCAATCCCTGACATTCAGGAGGCAACTGATCGGTTTCTCTCGCTTGCTCGCTCTCCCTCCTTTCTCTCTCTCTCTCTCTCTCTCTCTCTCTCTCTCTCTCTCCAATAAAAACATATCCTAGGGTGAGGATTTAAAAAAAAAGAAAGACAACAAAGACCCCAGTACTTAGGTACTTAAGTGTTCCACAGGTGGCTGCTGGGTTTGGCCCCTCATGAGCCCTGCTGCACCCACAGCTCCCTGCACCCCTCCCTCTTAGGGGTGGAACGCCACAGTAATGAGGTCATGATTATATTAGGCACTTATGTGTACCAGACTTTGGGCTCAGGGTTTCACACGCAGCATTTCAGCAAATCTTCACACCCACTGTGGGGGGAGGGGTGCCATTATTCTATGTACAGCTGAGGAGGTTGATCAGAGAGGCTGAGTGACTTACTCAAGCTCACAAAGCCGCTAATTGGCGAAGCCAGGCAGAATTCAAACCCAGAACTGTCAAATGCCAGGCTGTGCATGCTTAACCACTTCACGATTCTGGCACCCCGAGACATTCCACGTGCTTCCTTCTCTTCTCCCACCCTGCCCGCCCCCCGGGTGCAGTTTCTGAGCAATGCAGGGGCCAGGGAGGGCATATCCTCCTGACCTTGAGAAAGCGGCCACCCTAGAGCAACCCCACCTGCCTTTCCATTGGCCTGTCCAGCCTGGCCTGGAGGTCACGCCTGCTCCTCAACTGAGTTATTCTTCACTTGGTGTTAGAAAGGATGTAAACAGAGCAGGTGCGTCTACATTTCCCTGTGCTGATACGAAGCTGTGTGGAAACCACTGAGGGGCAGGGAAGCACGCACAGTGGTTAAGCCGCAGGAGCCAGAGCCATATTTCCAAGGTCTGACTCTCCGCCTGGCCACTTACTAGCAGGAGACCTTGGGCAAGAAGCTTAGCTTCTCCCTGCCTCCGTTTCCCCAGCTACAAAATGGAGATCATAGACTTCAGTGCACAGGGTCACGGTGAGGATAGGATGCAAAGAGTTATGCCTGAAGCCACATTGAGCTGGGCATGGAAGGAGGGGCATGCCCAGGGTGTCCTCTCCCGGGCTGCAGCCTGACCCCTTTCAGTGCTGGGCGTGTGAGCCAGCGCCGTCTTTGACCCGCTGGCCTGCGAGACCCCTCTACCAACACCTTGTGCTTGAGCTCCTGCAGGGGCCCTCCTGCTGGAAGTCCTCCTGACTTGGCAAGCTGACAAAGCGCCGGTCGGGCCATTGTCAGAGGGCGTGTGCCTTGTGCCGCCCCCCAAACGGAGCATGTCTTCTCTGTGGTCGTGCCCAGCTCCAGGGTGGGCTGACTGGGGGAGGGGGATGTTTAGGGGGCTTTCGCTGGGTGCCTGGTTTTCTTCCTCACAACAAAGATCCGAGGTCGCTGTTAGTTACCATGGTCCACAATGAGGACGCCGAGCCTTGGAGAGGCCGCCCCAGGTATCAAATCTCATGCCAGTCTCCTCAGGAGCAGAAGTTTGGGCCATCAGAGAAGTGCATGGCAAAGCGTGCAAAGCTGGCTGGGCACAGCCCTCAGAAGGACTTTGGACCTGACCTGACACCTAGTGGCCACAAGTGGGAATTACTCCACCACTGGGAAGGCTCCAGGGCTGTTGCAGGCAGGTTTGGGGCTTGGCGTCCTTCACTTACTAGGTGAGGACAGTGTCTGGGGGTGGTCTGGGAGGTGGGGGTGTGTGTGTCAGGGTTGGTGGTGGGGTAGATTTCCGCTTTCCTGTATCTCCATCATTCTCCAATAGCTACCCAAGCAGATGATAACATTTGGTCAAAAAAATTGCTGCCTTTTCATTTTTATGCAAAAGATAAATAAAAGCATCTTGAGCAAACGGTGTTTTTTACTGATCTATAACCCACAGTTGCTAACACGTTTTGATACTTTATGGCCTTGTTGTCCTCAGGGTTCTACCCAGACACCAGCAGTGACTGGACGCTCACTCACAGGCAGGGGACTTGGTGGAGAATTTTCTGGATCATAACAGACTTAAGAGACATGGTCCCTGGCTTCATGCGGATTTGATTTATCTGGGGAGTTGGAGCAAAGACATCTACAGGTCCTGCGGGGTATAGCCAGTGTGAGTTTCAGCCCACGACCTCCTCGTTGTATTACTTTCTTTTCTTTTCATCCTCCTAATTCTGACTCAAGCCCCACCAGTGGTCAGCCAACTGCAGCTGGCGAGCCACCTGCGGCTCTTTGGCCCCTTGAGTGTGGCTCTTCCACAAAATACCACATGCGTCGCGCACGTACAGTGTGATTGAAACTTCGTGGCCCATGCGCAGAAGTCGGTATTTTGTGGACGAGCCACACTCAAGGGGCCAAAAAGCCGCATGCGGCTCGCGAGCTGCAATTTGCCGACCGCGGCCCTGTACCATCAACTTCAGGGCAAGACGTTGAACAAGGATGGGAAAGGGGAAAACATGCTGTGGGAAGGGGGACATCCATCGTTTCAAGTCACGATTCTGCCACAGATGTGGAGAGGTCTGGACACCGCCCCCTCCCCTCCCCCGCCTTGCAGCAGAGTGACACCCGCGGCTGGGCCTTGATTCCTGGGTGCTGTCCGGCACACCTCTGCTGCTCTGAAGTGCCAGCTCCTGGACACCCCCAACTTGCCCAGTTTCCCACCACTCACCCGAAACAATTGCCAGGTGAATGTGTCTGTTCACTCCACAGGTATTTATTGAGCATCTACTATCTGCCAGGCACCATGCGGTGCTACAGGGATGTCAGAGACAGTCCCTGCAGTTCTTCATCCGCAAAGGTAACTGATGAGGTTAACCGAGACCCTTTAAGTTACCCCCACGTGGCCTCCCCTACTCGGCGTGCACTGTACTTGGCTATTTTGCTCAGCTCCTCATGTCTCCCCAGTTTCCCAAAAAACGTGGCGTGGGAGGTCCCTACAACCGGTTGCAGCTGTCTCACTTCGCAGGTGGAACCATGAGGCTCCGAGGCCAGGTGGCCGGGTAGTGCCGGGCCTCACCGAGAAGCCAGGTCTCTCCGCCTCCCAGCCTGGCTTCTCTTCATGCGACCCCTCGGCATTTGCTCCTGAAGGCCCCTGTCCGCATCTCCTGGGCGTCTGTTCCCTCTGCCATTGCTTCCCGCACCTCGAAATCTCTCCCCTCGACACAGTTCACAATTACTATGACCACACGACGTCTCTGCATTGGCCT